TCTCGTCAGGAAGTAATCGATCCGCTCCGGATCTCGCCAGGTCGCCAAAATGACTGCTATACCCGGAACGGTGGCGTTCGACGAGTACGGCCGGCCCTTCATCATCATCCGTAACCAGGAGAAGCAGCAACGCCTCACCGGTCACGATGCAATCAAGGTGAGATGGCGACGGTGACGGCGGACCTCGTAATCGAGCTTCTCCACCTCGTTTCTGGCGTCATTCTATAAGTCTCTCTTGTGGATGACGTGCACGTATCGACGCCTCGTCAACGCGTCCCCAAGGGGGACTTTGCCGCTCCCCCGGATCACGCCCGAGAGACGCTCTCGGCCACGTGCGAGCGGCAATGGCGGTGTTTCAGGCCTCGGCGATGAATAGAACGAAATATTCAGGCCGGACCGTACCGGGCGATTTTTTGTCTCTCGTTTCTCGAGATTTTGACCTACGATTTAAGCACGGCTGGAGGAGATCTAGGTTAATATGTCTCAATTAATGTGTCTCGCTCTCTTCTCTCTCTCGAGGGACCTTGGATTCTTTGTGACCATATAAGGCGATTCAGCCTTTTAGCCTGTGAGTGTTGCGATAGAGCAACAAAATTATAAACCGGGTTTATTTAACGATTTGTATATATATATTTTTTGAGATTTTTGTTTTAATTTTAAATCTGTAGAGAATAGGCAGTTTTTAATTTAAACTATAAAATTAATTTCTTACATTTATTAAATAAGAAAGTGATGTGCATAGTAAGAATTTAAATTTTTAATATGGGAAATATTGAAATATTTTGATTACAGTCGCATATTATGGCAGCGCGCAATGTGGCCAACATCCTTAGGACGTCTTTGGGGCCTAAGGGACTGGATAAGTTGATGGTTAGCTCGGACGGAGATATCACCGTTACTAATGACGGTGCGACAATCTTGAAGAATATGGATGTTGACCATGAAATTGCCAAGCTGATGGTCCAATTGTCAAATTCTCAAGATGACGAGATTGGCGATGGCACTACTGGAGTAGTTGTACTGGCCGGGGCGCTTCTGGAACAAGCTGAACAGTTGCTGGACAAGGGAATTCATCCGATTAGAATCGCTGACGGTTTTGAACTAGCGGCCAGATGTTCAACCGAGCATCTCAAGACAATAACGGACGATTTCAAGGAAACCCCGGAGAATTTGGAGTCATACATCGACATAGCTATGACCTCGTTAGGTTCGAAAATGTAATTAAGTATTTTTATTGCTTTTAAAAATTCTCTGTTCGCAATTCTTTTTTTTAACTCATATATATATATTTTTTTTTGTTTGTTTATTACAGTATCAACAAGCATCATAGGCAGATGGCGGAAATAGCTGTGCAAGCTGTATTGGCAGTTATGGATCCTGTTACTCGCGATGTTAATTTTGAACTAATCAAGATAGAAGGAAAGGTCGGTGGTAAATTGGAGGATACTGTCTTAGTACGCGGTGTCATTGTCGACAAGGACTTCAGTCATCCGCAAATGCCGAAGGTAAAATTCGAAAAGTGTCCCACGTCAGACTTTTGCTCTTTGATAAACAAATTACATATTACTTTAATGTCCGTGTAATGTTACAGAGATTAGAAGACGTTAAACTGGCGATCTTGACTTGTCCGTTTGAACCACCAAAACCCAAAACTAAACATAAGTTGGATGTCACGTCGGTCGACGATTACAGAGCTTTGCGCGATTATGAACGCGAGAAGTTCACGGAGATGGTGAAGCAGGTCAAGGATGCCGGCACGACACTGGCTATTTGTCAATGGGGCTTTGACGACGAGGCCAACCATCTTCTGCTGCAAAATGATTTGCCCGCAGTTAGGTGGGTCGGCGGTCCGGAGATCGAAGTGAGTGGTCTTTATAATTTTATTTTTCTTCAATTTTAATTATTTTTATAGCAATTATTGCTTGCTATAGTGATGAGAAAAAGAACCAGAGGAGGTGCGAGAGTTCGGGGAACTGGCTTGTCTTAGTTTTGAAAGCATTAGTCTTCTCTCGCAAATTAATGTTATATTAACTTTCGAGAAAAATGGAAAACTCTCAAAATTAGATAGCCGGTGATCTGGCTCTCGTGGTGGCTCCAATGATCAAAAGATTATGAGATCTGAATAATCTAATAGCAATCTTTTTGTCGTATTATGCGTTTTGTACATTAAATACGCATGAAGGATTCAATTTTTTTTTCAGCTCATTGCCATTGCGACCGGTGGACGCATTGTACCTCGCTTCGAAGAATTGACGCCGGAAAAACTTGGTCATGCAGGCGTTGTCAGGGAATTAACGTTTGGCACGACAAAAGATCGAATGCTAGTCATCGAAGAATGCAAAAACTCTCGCGCTGTGACAATCTTTATTCGCGGCGGCAACAAAATGGTACGCAACGACAGCTATTGATAAAAATAATTTTTGTGCAAGGAGAATTTCAGTAGTACTCCTTTCATTGTACATAACTGACCAGACACCTTGCAATAATAATGCATTGCAATAATACGAACTATTCAATACTCTGTGTGAATTGGATTTGTTTTTTTGCGATGCGACACTTGTGCTACATAGATAATTTAGGATTTATAATGGAGCATGTATTGCTTTTATGTTTATAGATTGTCGAAGAAGCAAAACGGTCGATGCATGATGCATTATGTACCGTACGCAACGTAGTAAAAGACAACAGGATTATTTATGGTGGAGGCGCGGCGGAAATATCCTGCGCGCTGGCTTGCATGGCGCAGGCTGATAAAATCAGCACTTTGGAACAATACGCCTTCCGTGCCTTCGCCGAAGCTTTGGAGAGCATTCCCATGGCGCTCGCGGAAAATTCAGGCCTTTCTTCGGTGGATACCATAGCGGAAATTAAAGCGCGTCAGTTGGCCGAAAAAAATCCCGATCTTGGTATCGATTGCTTAAATCGAGGCACAGCAAGTACGTATCGATCTTTATACGTATTACATACTGTTTTATACATTAATCATGAAATTATCACGGGTTATTTGTTACAGATATGAAGATACAAAATGTCATTGAGACACTGACAAGCAAAATCCAACAGATATTGTTGGCTACGCAGCTCGTCAAAATGATATTAAAAATTGACGACATACGCTCGCCTTACAGCGAAACCTAAAGCCCAAGTTTATTTAATTATGTGTGATTATATTAAATACTGTATTGTAATTGGTATCGTTTTATGTGCTGCATTTATTCTTACATTTGTAATAATGGATTGAGCTTCAATTGGTTGAATTGAAAATTGTTTCACATCATCTTCTATAATTTACATAATATATAATAAATTAAATAGTTGTAATTAATTGAAAATTATTTCACGTTATCTTCTATACTTGGCGCGAGACACTACGTGTCTTTTGATAATTTGTACAATATTACATATTACATATTGTGTAAGTTATAAGAGATGATATGAAATAATTTTCAACGATACAATTTCTAACCTGTATACCAATCTGGCAATACAATCATTAAGCGATACCTGATTCACGGGCACTTGTGTTTTTACCTACATCTATTTCTAATTTCCTATACTCTTTCGAAAAACATTAGAATTTCTCTTAACACAGTAGGGAATGCAGTTATTGCAATCGGGAACCAATAACGCGATTTCTGATTGCTGCTTCTGTGTAGTGTTTCGTATAAGAAACATTAGAAATGAGATAAGAACTCATCGGTCAACTTTAGTCTCTTCTCAATTATTTTTAATCTCTTAGAATGTTTTAGATCGTAATACCATTTATATTACCTATAAATTACCTTGGGCTTATTTATACTTATTTTTTGGATACTTGTTTCTATCACAGTGAAATATATAATCTTCCGTTCAGAATTCCCTTATTCTATATGTGAGGTGACAGGGCCGGGAATCGAACGTCTTCTTTTGGAACAAACGATTGCTCCACCACTAAACAGACTAAACTATCCAGCACCTCGACTTTATTTTCACTGTAGGAACAAATAAATATGTCACATCGAGTCAAGGTGTTATTGTGTAAATATATTCTATAACATTTTAAGGGAAGGGATCTTTTCTCTTTTTTTCAGACATCATTCTATGGAATGTGTTTATAATGCGCGAAACCAATGGCAGACTGAATGAAGTAACAAACGAATATTACGATCTACTCGTAAGATGGCACAGAATACAATTGTACATATATATAAATTAGAATATAAACAACAATTATATACCTCTGTTTCTTTCTGTCGCCTTCGTAATTTTTTCTCATTCGTATATCAGTCCGTCATCGGACCCGATTTTATAACAGCTCTCTCTCTCTCTTTCTCTCGTATCACAAAATATACATTCAATTTCCAACATGACGTTATATCTTTTCTCTCTCGCGCGCGTTTCCTTTTTACATTAATTACATCTTCAACAAGTTTTCAACTTTATCATGCGTACGAAATTCTCACAAGGACCAAGTATGACTGTACAAAGGAAAAAAGTTTCGCCATACATATGTAAACATTGTATTCACGCATAATTATTATTATCATATCATTCCCATATATTCGTTCGGTTTAGATTGTTTTCTCAATACTATGGAAATTGTTTTGTTATGTGCATAATTCCCGAATTTAATTAACTTACATTTTCAGACATTCACGATTTGTATAATTAGACATAAATCAACGTATTTCCTTGTACGTACTTCAAGGAAGAACGGATTCACACAAGTATCTCTGAGACCATCAATTATCTTTATAACATAAATAATATCGATTAATAAAAAGAATCTTAAATTTAAAATCCTTGTAGGAGCTTCGTACTCGTGCCTCCCTTACATTTCAACGTACAACGCTATACAGTAACAATAATGAAAAATATCGCTCTTTCTCACTTACCGAGACCTGATCGTCTACCTATACATAACAGAATTGACTTCGAACTTGAATGCGATTAGGAATACGACGACATATCGTAAAATCTATAAATTACCCGAGTAAAAAAGAAACATATAAAACGTGATATCGATGGGCCACTCTCGATGTGTCTACGTCTAAACGTAGCCGGATTACCGCGCGGTATCACTAACTTCCAGTACGAACAAATGGACTAAGCGAGTTTCGGTTATTCGCGTATAACGTTTTCAACTAAAGACACACAGTACAGTACAGTACAGTAGAGCGGGGAACTTGACCAGGATCATGCCTCGATTGCGTTACACCTTCTTGAGCATGGGCAAGTGAAGCACCTCAGGTACCTCGATATCTTCAAGTCGAATATCCGACGGATTGAATGAAAATCTTACGGGATATGAATACTTTAGATCCATTAACAACTGAAAATAAAAAATCCATTATATGTTGTGAAAAAATTTTTCAGGCTCGCTACTTAAGAATGCGTATATACGAGTGTCTTTTAGACGCTCATCGAAGAATTGATAATATGATAATTCCCAATCGACTGCAGGGGAAAACTTACTTGTTCGTTGTTCTCACCGCGCTCCTTCAGTTTGTCTTGTACTTTCTTGATAAACGAAACAGGAACTCGACTTTCGTAATCGTCGACGGGCGTGTACAGATTCAGAATTTTCACTATTTGATTGGCCGTCAGTTTGTTGCACATCTCGCAGACAGAATTAACGTCCTCGTCCGTCTTGCGAGCTTGTAGAAGCTGCGACGCCTGTATGATGGGCTGTAGCGCTTCCGACGCGGTTTCTAGTCGTCGGTCCCTGCCCCACTGCTCCAAATGGCTCATGTTATACCTTAAATAATAAACAGAACATTGTATAATTTTTTACAAAGTATATTTAATATTATTACGCAAATAATAGCAGGAAATAAATTGGAAATAAAAAAGTAAAGTCAATCTCTGCTTTGGAATTGAAGAAGGGAGATTTAAGTCTTTCCTAAGTTCTTTTTTACGTATTTTCTATAAAGCAGTTATTGTGTTGGATTTCTTATTACATTGTTAATAAATAACAATGCAATTGAGAATTAACGCCACGTTTGTCTTACCTTATCTGCATACCCTTTGTCCATCGGCAGAGCTCGCTCCTTAACAGCAGGTTGTTCAAAGCGCTGGCGCACATGAAGTAAAACAGTTGCTTAAACAGCTGCACCACAACCTCGGGGTCCACGCCGTGATATTGAAGGGTCTTGTGCACCGACGTCAGCTCGCCCAGAAGCTTGTCCAGTTTCTGCTGCGTGGAATCCGGCTCGCCGCCCATGGACGACGACCTAGGTCGCCCGGTCTTGTCGGTCGGAACGGATATTGCCTCATGCTCCAGCAAGGCCGGTACTGTGAGCGCCTGAATCCTCTCCTTGAGATTCGTGATGAGATTGTTGAAGATCCAGAGAGCCACGTTACTCAGTACAACACGGTATTCACTCAGGTCGAAGTTCCTCAGGCATTGCTCGTTCTGCCTGGGCGTGTTCTCGATCTGGAACGGCTTGTCGCCGGAGTACTGCTTCATGTTGTGCAACAAACGCAGGGTGTTACTCATCCAAAGCACTCTGCAGTCGAAGTCGTCGCGTTTCTTTGACACGCGTTTAACGGCATTCAGGTACTCGGTCAACAGCGACCGCACCTTATCGTCATCGTTAATGCAGTCGGTGTGTCTGATGCACATGAAGAGGATGTAGGCCGGTAAGCCTGGTAACAGCGTCACCGCTATTCGGGGCTTCAGCTCTGAAAAAGGTAAAGATATTAAATATAAATTTATAGGTCATACATATTGGGCGTAAAAATAAACGTGAAAAGAAATAAAGGTGAATAAAAAAAGATTTGTTAATTATACCTTAAAATTTTTAAATTAAATTATATCTCTCGGACAATGAATTTTATAGATAAATTCGAAAATATTTAAATGTAAGAACTCATAAATAAAACAGAATTCTCGAAAAATTAATCGACATGAAAAGTAACCCCGAAACTTACCAATGACCAAGTGGCGTATGATCAAGTTGATATCCTCCTTTCTGAATTCAAACATTCCTTCATAATCCCTCTCCTTTTTGCGAATGATAGGCATGTTACTCCCGTCTCCGTGAGTACTGGAAACGGCGACGCAGCCGTTTGCGTATTCCACCGTGTTGGGCACTGTAAAATTGAAACTTTTGTATTCGCGCTGGACACAATAAGCAAGCGATGATGAATTATGGTCTGCGTGATCGAACTGGTTGAAAAGTTTGTATGTAATCCTCTAGTTCATTAATTTTCATAAAATTTTGAATTTTTAACTTACACAACTATTTATCTTATTAAATCGTTTCTATTTCTTTGCTTAATCTGCCGAAGAACTTACTGTCTTTTACATGCACAAACTATTAGAACAATTCAATAAGATTATGACTATGATCACATCAAGACCACGCACTCACCGGTGCCTTTTACATAAGAACGTTCCTCCCCTTCGTCTTTGACAGCATTAAAAGATAAAGTAATTTATGATATTCAACGTAATTCCAAAATTACACAGCAATAGAATCTTTAAATATTTCTTACAATAAGTATATAATTATTACACTTACAGCCAGCATCCTTGAGTCGTTTCGCCAGAATTCTGCATTGTTTCTTGAAGCGTCTACATTCCTCCGCTACTTTATCGTATTTCTCTTGAAGTTCCTTTAACACAAAGGTCAAATATAAATATATAAATTTTTGTATTTATATAAACGAGAAGTTAAGAGACTTTATTGCGGTAAAAAATATATCTAAATTTAAAAGTAACAAAATCAATTAGGATTAATAATAAATTTTGTATCAATGATAAAAGAATTTGTTTCACTTACCAGATTTTCAGACGTCAATCTGGCAACCTCATACTGCATGTAAAGCTCCGCTTGAGTTTGCGGCGATTTGCTCAAATTAATGGAGAGCAGTTTTTGCTGCTTCTCGATTTCTTCTTGCAGCCTGTCTATCTCGTTTCGCCACTCGTCTCTTTGCGACCGCCAATTCCTTTCCTTCGCTTGCAGCTCATCCTCCAATTGCCTTAAAAACAGAGAAACCAAGTTTTTCACTTTTTGGGAATTACTGCGAGAAATCTCTTGAATTGTTCAATCGCAAATTAATCGTTCGAGGGAGTCATGCTAAATATAAAAAATCATGCCTATTACTAACATCATTATAAAATAATTATTAAAATGTAGTTTTAGAAATAATAACACGGGATAAACAAATTAAGGAAATTTAGCATGACTCATAGTTGATAATATTAATGTCACTGTTGTCAAAACAAACAGCTTTGAAATGCTTCAAGACGTTTAAATAAATATACTATGAAATTATAGAATCTCTTTTTTTGATTGAACAGTTCAATAACGTTGAAACGAGTGAATCTGCTCAACTCACTCTCCTCTCGGTGCCTTTGTCTTAAGTTTACTGAAAATCGAAGTGCATGCACAAACGACAAAAGACTGTTGTTAGACGTGGCACTTTGTCAATAATCGGCTTGACAACTAAGCGTTTTGCGTTACCTGTTAATCTTCTTCTGCGCTTCGAAGGCAAGTACCAGCTCGCCATCTTCGTTTATGATGTCCACATCGCGACCATAACTGGTACCTAAGCTCTTCATTCTGCGCGTATGATCGGCCAGCACGCTATGCAGCTGAATACACTCCTCTCTTCTCCTTTCCAGTTCCTCCTGCAGCGCCTCGAATTGTACTAAAACATCATTATGTCAATATTATTCTATGTCTTTTACACAGTATTATTATTATTGTTTTTGCAGACAGTTATTGGTGATAGGGCATATAAGAGGAAAATAGTAGCATTAATAATTGTAAACATAGAGAAACGAACATATTCAAAAAGAATTTTCGAAAAATTCTTTCCATATAATTTATGCTTTAAACGTATAATACTGTTTACACTTTTGCAAAATTTATTCCAATATAGGTGGATTCATATTGTTGAATAAAGCGATAATTTTGTAAGCAATGTGAAAATGAAGAATGCAATATGTAAGTACTAAAATATTGGAATTAGCGCAATTATGTTTTACGCTAAAATCAATATTTAATATTAGACACAGAGAATGAAGAGATACAGCGTTTAGAGGATAAAAGGTAAAAGAAAGCAGAGATCTAACACAAGGTAAAAAGCAAAAAGCAAAAGTTATAGATACACATGTGTTTATCTATATCACGCTTTGATGTTTAAAAGTTTAAAGATACAAAGTAAATTAACTTATATATTAAAATCGGTATAAATATGCGTGCTTAGTGAAAGAAGTAGTGCAGAAAATAGCTAATGAGTTGTAATATCCAATTACTCATGAGATTTTGCTGCGCGGACGATGGGCTGGTCTCCGATACAGTCTTCCTCAGTGAGTTCAAGTCTTTTTTAAGTTGCGAGTTCTCCATTTCTAGTTCTTGGAGCTGCAAGCAAACCATATTGTCTCAATTAATCAGTTAATCAGTGATAATAGAGATAAGACAAGTGACGAAGTACGATGAAGTGGATTTATCGATAATCTCTTAACATGCCGGTTAAGTGACGTCGAGTTCGCGTCAGAAAATTGGCAGGTGTTA